TCTCTCTCTCTCTCTCTCTCTCTCTCTCTCTCTCTCTCTCTCTCTCTCTCTCTCTCTCTCTCTCTCTCTCTCTCTCTCTCTCTCTCTCTCTCTCTCTCTCAGCCAGATACTCAGCGTAAAGACGGCGTCTTGGTGCTGTGATGCAGGTGGAGTGATCGGAAGACAACCTCCACTTATGGTGCCCAAGGTGAGTCCACAGGTAAGTCTCCACATTGCTGGCCTCCGCCCTGATCCTCCCAACTCCTCTACCTATAGCCTAGTGCAGCTAGAATTCTAACGCTGCTCCAGCAGCATAGTCACCTCTAACTCATAGTCTCAAAATGTTGCCTCTCTACAGTGAGGACGGACCAGCTATATATAGCGCTGGGCTGGATACCGCTCCGGTCGGCATCCTGGGCCGTCCAATCATGGTGCTGATCCGCAGTGACCGTCCAGGATGCAGGCCCAAATCCTGGCCTTAAAAAAGCCTATCTTCGTCCCAACCGGATGTTCACACTCCTCTGCTGAAACACCAAAGGTGTCCTCACAAGAGAACAAAATAGGGGCTGGACCCAAAATGTGGCTCAACCCCAAACGAAGTGCGCCTGGCCTGGAAAACGGCCACTGGGCCTGAAATGGCCCATCTGCTCCCAGAGGGCTACCACTCTGGACAGAAATGTTGAAAAGGCACATCCAGACCGAATAAACCTGAAACAGACAAATGAACTCTGACCAGACAAACGACAGAGAACTACAACATACAAAATGAACTCGGAAAAATGCTGACGACCCAAAAAAGAAAAGGCAAGACCCCAAACACACGCTCGCGACCCCAAAACCAGCACCGGACCCCATGGGGGCCCGTCTGGGAGCTGTGCGTAACCACAGTAACCGTACCTGTCTCAGTAGTCTGGATAGATGCAGACTGCAGAGGTGTCGGTATCTGACCTGAACATGGAGAGGGGGGGGGAGAGAAGAGGAAAGTGCTCCGGTGTCACACTTTCAGTTTGAAGTAGGCAGGACAAACACTAGGTCGCAACTTCAACATGGGAGGAGTTTGAAAAGGGAAAAAAAAACTTTACGTGGCGGCCCTACCAGGGCTGTAGTTCGTTAGTGCATTGAGCTTCACTGCTCGACACCGTGAGCGCACACACACACACACACATTGAGAGATCACGCGAAATCCACACTGGAGTCCAGAGATGCAAATTCCAGATATGCATAGCTTAGAAATTCCAACAAATTCCCACCCGATATCTAGGTATTCTCATGACACGGGAGGGTCTGGCGCCCCAGATGGCTCAGAACATGTTAGCCAAGCAGTTAAATAAGCTGGGAAGATGGGGGAATACATTCACCTCACTGATAGGTAGGGTCCTGGTACTCAACACTTCAATCTTCTCCATGATGTGGTACATTGCGTCGGCATGGACAATTCCAGATGACTCATTAAAGGAACTAAATCGAGTGGCTAGAACATATCTATGGACGGGCAACCCCAACAAGGAAGGTTGTATCCCAAAGATAGCATGGCATTACATCTCAAGAAAACCAATACACGGGGGGCTAGGAATCATTGACCCGAGGTGCGAGACGAGAGCCCTTCAAGTCAAATGGATAGTCTGTCTGTTAACGAAACCAGAAACGACATGGAATAAGCTGACCCTGGACAGCATAAGGGCCCTAGCCACGGTGTCATCGCCAAATGACATGACGGGTCTATTCTGGGTAATGAATAAGGAATGGTCTTTGAAAAAGGTGAGGAGAAGACGCAGGAGGGAAATAGAGCGGAACATAGACAACCGCCAAATGCCATACTGGGCGGCTCTAATCCGGATTTGGAGGGAAATAATGCCAAAAAAGATTAATAGACCGAAATCTAAGGATGAGGTGTTGAGACAGCCCGTTACGGACTTCGCCAGGGCTCGATCCCTGGTCTATCTTTTTGCTGTTTCAGCTGCATCCCGTTTTCGGCCTGGCGCCCTTTTTCCAAACTCCTCCTTTGGTACCGTAGGATTTCGGACAACTGGCGCCATGCTGCAATTCGGGCGCCACGTTCAAATACTGCATTTTTCACTTCTGCCCTCGGGGGCCTTTGCAGAAATGC